TGTTTACTCCAGTGTCAGGTTTGGGCACACAAGCTGAGTTGTCATGGCAACAGAGCAGGCCAGGCCCTCTGAGTTTTAAGCATCAATGTGGACTAGATCAACTCTGTTAAACCCTCACAGTGCCTTAAAAAGCAGCACATGTGATCCTGATATTTGATACAACTCTATGTTCAGGGGCAGCTTGAGTTCTTAAGGAGTCAGATATGTTTGGCGCTCATTGAGGGGGGGTGGGGGGCTGTGGCATTATGTGACGGTAAATGTGAGTTTTCTCTGCCCCTTTCCCACTGTGGGCCCATGTCTGGGCAGAATTTTCCAGATCAGGGGGACGCCACATGCTTAAGGATGGGGCTCGGCCCTTTTTCCATCCAAGCTTCCCTTTAGTTTTAAAAAAATAAATCAAAATGACCTCCATTTCTTTGATGCGTGATGGTTAATGGCTCCGGTGTTGTGTGGACCCCCAGCTTACCGCACCGATGACTGCCTGCCGTGGGTGCTGCCGGTCGTCAAGAAGGTGGAGCGGCTGATCGTGGAGGACAGCAGCCTCAACCACGAGTACCTGCCCATCCTGGGCCTGCCCGAGTTCCGCTCCGCCGCCTCGAAGGTGGCCCTGGGAGACGACAGCGCCGCCATCAAGGAGAACAGGGTGAGGCCACGGGCCGCGGGAGGTGTTTTTTATGTAAACACCGGGAAGGAACGATGAGTTTGCAGATGGAAATGTCAACCCCCTCGTCTTTGCTCCTGCTTTCATTTGTGAAAACGCCACGAGGTGAACGCTCCTCGTGTTGCCTCAGAGTTTACAATGAGGTCTCAGAACAGGTTTTCTGACATAAATCCCCCACAGGAAAGTGCGGGACCCTCTTCAAAAGGGGCAGAATGTAAATAATAAAATTGAATCTTATCAGAATCAGAATTAGGTTTATTGCCAAGTAGGTTTTTCACCTACAAAGAATTTGATTTGGTTAGGGTTAGGGTTCTCAGCTTAGCACTCAGCTAAACTTTGTAATGTTTGTAGGCTTAAACGATGATGCTTTAAATGTTCTTGTCTTGTTCTGGTCCTTCCCTTTTGTTTGATGTCCCTCTCAGCCCTGTTGGCTAAGATAATTACTTTCAGAGCGGCTCAAATTTATTTAGCAAACAAGCGTCCCCTTTATGGCCGACATCGTCTCTCCTCCCAGTTTGTTTACTGAGCTTGGTTCTGGTTTTTCCTCCTGCCCTCCCAGGTGGGGGGGGTCCAGGCTCTGGGTGGGACCGGGGCTCTGAGGATCGGGGCGGAGTTCTTGCGGCGCTGGTACAACGGCGTCAACAACACGGCCACGCCCGTCTACGTCTCCGCCCCCACATGGGGTGAGTGGTCGGCCGGGGGGGGGGGGGGGGGGGGGCAGAGGGCCCAGACCTTTAAGTAACCGCCCGCTGCTTGTCTCTCCAGAGAACCACAACAGCGTGTTTGCCGACGCTGGGTTTAAGGACATCCGGCCGTACCACTACTGGGATGCGGCCAACCGGGGACTGGACCGCGCCGGCTTCCTGGACGACCTGGAGGTGACCGCCGCGGATTCCCGTCCGCAGTAATGAGCAGTTTCACATCGAATCTGCTTCTGTTGTGGCTGAGATTAGAGGGAAATAACACAGTTCGAAACTCCTCTCCTTTCCCAGAAAGCTCCGGAACACTCCATCTTTGTGCTCCACGCCTGCGCACACAACCCCACCGGCACAGACCCCACCCAGGAGGACTGGAAGGCCATCGCGGAGATCATGAAGGTCCTCAACAGACTCATGTGCTCATTTCATGCCCAAAGGTGGAAGGAATTAGAAAATTAGACCTCATTCTGGGCTCATTTTGTCCATGAATTGTACATGAACCAATCATGTCCTTTGGTCGTGTGCCATAAAAAGCCTGAATTGTGGGCGGTCAGCTGACATCAGAGCAAGTTGCACTAAACATCTTCTCAGCCAAAACACGTAAACAAACTCTGAGAGCAGAGGAAGGGAGCAGGCCTTCGGTTATTTTACCTTTCAGTGTTATTTTCAGCTCAATGTCAGATTAGCACCATTCCAGAGAAGACAGACATCTGTGTAGCCTCAGTTCTCACCCTGGCTCTCAGACCCAACACCTCGACACTTTTCTCTCGGTCTAACTTGTCTTTGCCCCTCTCTTATTCCCCTCCCTGCCCTCCAGAGGAGGAATCTGTTTGTGTTCTTCGACTCGGCCTACCAGGGCTTCGCCTCCGGCAGCCTGGAAAAAGACGCCTGGGCCATCCGCTACTTTGTCTCCGAGGGCTTCGAGCTCTTCATAGCTCAGTCCTTCTCCAAAAACTTCGGCCTTTACAGTGAGTGATCTTCCGCGCAGCCCTGTGTGCGTCCGGGGGGAGGGGGGGGAAAAAACTCGTGGAGCTCAAAGTGTGCCTCTCCTTTGGCTGTGGTCAGATGAGAGAGTGGGAAACCTGACGGTGGTTGCCAGGGACAACGAGAACCTGTCCCGCATCCTGTCCCAGATGGAGAAGATTGTGAGGACCACCTGGTCCAACCCGCCGTCCCAGGGGGCGCGCATCGTCAGCAAGACCCTGAACTGCCCCGAGCTGTTTGCAGAATGGTACGCCCCCACCCCCCCCACCATCACATGGTGATGTTTTCTGTCTGATGTCTCTCTCTCGGCTTCCTCCCGCCTGAAGGAAGGACAACGTGAAGACCATGGCCGAGCGGGTCCTGCTGATGAGGGACCAGCTGAGGAGTAAGCTGGAGACTCAGGGCACCCCGGGGACCTGGAACCACATCACCCAGCAGATCGGCATGTTCAGCTTCACCGGCCTGAACCGTGAGTCCCGCACCCACACCTAGGACCGGAAACACCCGGCTCAAACTCCGGCATAAACACACACCCCCTGGTTACTGCTTCAGAGCAGCCGGGTTTCTGGTTCCTGCGGTTTAGAGGTTTAGAGTGGCAGCCCGGAAACAAATTAATCTGAGCTAACGCTAGGAGGAGCTCATGAGCTTTCTTGGCTCTTTCACATTCTGAACAGGCTGTTCTGGACCTGTGGATGTTTCACAGAAAAGGAATTTACCGTATTCTCCTAACTCTTTGTCATGTTGGTTTGCTGGGAGTTCAAATCGGGCTTTTCTCCACTGCTCTTCCTCTGAATCTTCATGTAATTGGAGTTTAAAGGGCTTCATGTGAAGATATACATTTATATACAAATATACAACCTATATATATATATATATATA